ACCGTTCCAATTTTAACAGATCTCCCAAAGGACTATCTCACAGGTTATCCCAGTCTAGCAGGCACGCCAAATTTGCTGTAAGATAAAAAGTCTTCCAACCTTTCGAGTACATTTAGCAACAATTGCGATGAGCTTCATTTAGTAACACTTCGAAGAAGCCTGAACCCAGTATGTCGCCACGTCCACTAAAATTGGAACGATACAGAGAAGATTAGCATGGCCCCTGCACAAGGATGACACACATAATCGAGAAATGCTTCAATTCATTAAAAAAAAAAAAAAGAAGCCTGAACCATCCCTGGTGCCACATATGAGAGAGAACAGCTACGGGGTTGGGCTGACATCACAACCTGTTTTGTGCTGCTAATACTCAGCCAAACAGCCCGGAGGCTTGTAACATTGGGATGAACATGCTCAGGTGCAACTGAACCCTTAACCCCTGGAATCAATCTAAATACTGGCGGTTGTAGTAACCCTGTTCAGAAGTAGCCCGGGGCCCAGAACTCAGCCCCAGGCCACGCAGACCAGAATTGGTCTGCGCTGGGCTGTGTGACCAACACATGCCCAGAACTGAGAAGGCTGCACGTGGCTGTGGGACCAAGTGCTAATATCAGGAAATTCAAGAGTCAAAGTCAACTCTCAAGTCAAAGGTACCACGCCAGGCCCTTGGTTGGATACATCCACTTGTTGTGCGCAGGTACCAAGACATGCATCCAGGCCGAAGAGGATACAGTTTCAGATCGATCCAGGCCCTTCCCGGTGTCAAGATCTGGACGGCTGGAGTCTGCAGCAGCCGGGGTCCCGACCTCGAGTCAACGCTACATAAGCATGGACTCCCTGGCTTTGACATTCATTTTTTTTCTGTCTTGCGTTGACGCTGCTCTACGCGTTGATGGCACGTCGCTGGCTGGACGCTGCGATGCTGATGGACGCTGGCATTACGCTGGCATTGGCGAGATAGCAGCAACACGCTGCTGGCTGGTGCGCTGACTGGCTGGCTACTGTCTTCAAGGCTTGCTGATGTGGCATTGCCACGTGTTGCTGCTGACGTGGCTGCTGCCACATGTGACATTGCCGGGTCTACAGGACCGGCATTCCTGTTCTATTCTATCATCACTTCAGGGAGATATCAAGGCTGTTTCATTGTCAGTTCAGGAGGAGATCGGGACTGTGAGGAGGTTGTGGATACGTACCTGGGATCTTCATGTCAATGTGACTCCAGCGCTGATGAGAGGTTGATTCGGTGCCACGTGGCATACTGTAACAGGACTTCGATATGTGTTCAGATTACTGGTTATTGTGAGGTGGCAGTCAAGGATGGAGCCCGGAGAAGGAGTGGGCATTGTATCTTCCTCTCCTTTGTCTTATCTCCCTCCTTCCTCTTCGTCTGTGTATGATTATCTCACCTCTCTCCTTCTGGATACTATTTGATTATTGAAAACTATCAGCTGCTCTATAATCTGGACTTGCACTGTTGACATTCGTATTCCTGACTTGGGTTCATTACACGGTAGTTAATACTAACTTAATAGTACCACTGCCCAAGTTTGCCAAATATCAATATGATAGTCAGATTAGGCAAAAGGCATAAGCACAGACAGGGCTAATCTCTCCATTCCTGACAAGACACTGACGGTGCCCTAACCAGAATGGTCATTGTTGCTCATAGAATGCCTTTGGATAAAATAAAAAAAAGGCAAACCATAGACTGGAAAGTTGTGCGGAAACAGTGGAAAGCTTTTCATGCCAGAGAAGAAATCCAGGAAGAAAAAGCCAAGCAACCCAGAAAGGAAAGGGCAGCACCCATCTTTCTCTTTATCATGGAGGCCATAGCTTCATTCCTTAGGAAAGACCCTTCAATCGACCGTCTAATAGCAGAACCGGATCAGCAGGGGCGTATAATAGAATTACCCACCACGATACTATTCGCAGACGATCTCACAGTACTCATCAGGGCCACGGATTCCTCTTTTCAAGCACTCACAAAAGCGATGGAAGCATTCCAGTTGGCATCGGAAATGAGAATTAACTGGCCCAAAACGATAGGATGGTGGCTTATATACGACCAGCAGCACCAGCAGCCCCAGCCCCCAGACCATGGGGGAATGGAGTGGCTACCCTCACACCAACCGTTGAGGTATTTGGGGATTAGGCTAGCGGACGAGGGCCCACACCACTCCATGGCCCCTGATCTCATGACCAAAATGCTAGCAAAGTTGGACGCATGGTCGTCCATTTATACCTCCCTGTACGGGAGAGCCTTGGTCCTCAATGCCTCCATCTTCTCCATGCTATGGTATGCGGGCACCCTGTGGTCACCCCCAGGTTCAACACTTCGAAGACTCTGAAGGGTTGCAGCAGCCTATCTGTGGACAGGGAACCCGACCAAGGATAACTTCATTTCTAAGGTAGCCTGGAAACAAGTAACACAAACAAAGAATCGGGGGGGACTGGGCATCCTGGATCCAGAGCAGCAGATTAAGGCACTCCAATCAAAATGGATTATCAAGCTGGTAACGCAACCCCACTTGCGCTGGGTTCCCCTAGTATTGGAGCACATACGAGCGCTTTCAAAGTTCTCAACTCCTCCAAATATGGAGGGCACCTTCTGGATATTCTGTAAAGGGTGGGCAAAAAGGGGTAGGCCAAGGGAGCGGGGGGGTGAGGAGGGAACTTCCTCCCCATCATACTGGGCACAGATTCTTAGGATATGGGAAGAGATATTCCCGGCTAGAGTACGGAAACCTAGATCCAAGGAGGAAGTCCTCAGGCAACCCTTGTTCTGTAACCCCTGGTTACAGGATTCCCAAGGGAAGCCGAGGACACTAACAGCTAGGGACACCAGATGGGGGAATTGGTTGGAACATGGGGTCTGGCAGATCAAGCACTTATGGTCCCAGAATGATAATAGATGGAAGACAGGGAGGGAGCTGAGAGCCACGATGAAAGGTTGTCATAAGCTTACGGAGAATCTAAACGATGTTCTAATCTCCATTCCGCAAGAATGGACGCAGTTGTTGAGAGGGCCGTGCAAATGGAAATGGGGTGATTGGGCGACCTGACATATAAGTGCAGTTCCAGAGCAGGCCTTCCGGGTGCAGCAGGAAGTGGGCCCCGATAAACAGTGGCTTGATGCAGAGATGTTCGTAATTTATAATCCGGGAATCACAGTGAGTCACCTGGATAAGGAATCCAAGACAGCAATCACAATTAAGAAGTGCCTGCTCAGAAAGATCAGGGTGGTAGAGGATGACAAATTTACAGTATTTGCACCCACGGTGGCCATTGAAGATTTGGAGTACGACCCGGCGGAATGGGCATGGAATATTAGGGGTGGAGAGACACGAGTAACAACGAAGATTAACATTCTCCGCTATACAACGAGACTGGGTTATAGGCTGAGGAGAAGATCGACCCATCTGGACCTTCCCCTAGCCTTAAGATGGGAAAAGAGGGAGGGGATACCAAGAGACCAGGTGGGGAAGTTGCCCTGGTCGTCCCTTCACAGTATAAGATTGGGTAAGGTCAGAAGTCTACAATGGCTCGTCCTCCACGTGGCCCTCCCAGTCAACTCTTGGTTGTATGAAAGAAGAAGCAGGCAAGCTAGGACAGAGGAGGAACGAAACTGTACCCTGTGTACGGGTGGGGCTCTGGAAACGATGGTCCACTATTTAATCTCATGCCCAGAGGCAGAGAAGGTGTGGGCGTTAGCTCGCGCACTATGGTCCCGGGTCACGGAAGTTCCCTTCCCTCCGATCAGAGACAGACTCCTAATCAACATGGAAGCGCCCAGAGACTGGAATTCCCGCCAGAAATACATTTTCCGGCTACTGAGGCTCTACGCACTGTGGACAGTGTGGAAAAGAAGATGCCAAAGGGTGGTAGGAGGGAATCATATGACTATAATGGAAGCCAGAGGAATAATGTACAACCTGCTGAAAACAGAAATCAGGGCACAATGGCAGAGAGCCAAGAAGCAAGAGGAGAGGCAGGAAGAATTAAATCCAGATAAGGCTAAGGAAATAATTAACAAGTTTCGGACAAAGGTTCTAGCAGGGGGCAAGGTGGCTTCATTGGAAGGGAAAGCCTTGCGCTTCCATTGGTTTAAGGACGATCTCCAGGACCCGCCATATTAGGACGAGAATGGGGACCAGGAGCTGGGACTACCATAAACTGCGGGAGGGAGGAGTGATCTGCAGAAGAAATCGCAAAGGGAGGGAACCTCAGACCCACTTAAAATAAATCTATCTTCGCAAGGACAGGACTGAGATACAAACGGGGCTGGGGCAAAAGAGAGGGAGCAGCAGGGAAGGGACGTACAGCCAAGGACGTCAAGTATTGAAGGGGGAGAATAAGGGACAAGGGACACCAATTAAAGTGTCAGGGGAGGAAGCAGGGTTTAGGGTTTAGGGTTTTACAACACTTAAAAGGCAGAGAAAGGGGTTTTAGGGAACAGGGGGGAACACAGCTTTTGTGAAGAATTGGTAAAAAGAGGAAGGTAGATCACATGGCTGCAAGGGAGGATCTCTTCCTAGGTTGAACAGGAATTTCAGGCAGATCTGTTAGGGAAGATCTGAGAGGGAAGAGAGACTCAAGGCCAGCTGACAGTCAATCCTCCACCAAGGGCGGAGTAATCAATGCTGTTCAGGGGTCCTCCGGCCGGACGGGAGGAAGCGTGTGTTCTTACTCTGTAATGTATTATGCTGTGACTTGCCGGTGGAATAGGAACCGGACTGACGCTCCCCAGAATAGAAGGAGCTATTTTTTTGGGAAAAAAAAGAATAAAAAAGAAAAAAAAAAAGGGCAGCACCCAAAACAGCAGGTCAAAACCGGACTGACTCACTCATGCTCAGGTCAAAATGGGAAACCATTCTCAACTCCTTAAAGAAGTGAATCGGAAAATAGCAGGTGTGTTTCCAAAAAACTTCAACAAAGCCTTAGTGGCACTGCCCTTAACCTAGGTTGCCTTCACTCTTTCCTTTCCCAAGTGGAATACATACTTGATAGGACAGGAATATCCTCCAACTCGAACGGTCGCGCTTTTCCCTTCTGCAGCAATGGGTTCATCCATCTGCACCCAATAGATCAAACAAGTGTTAGAGCCATGCGTTCTTTCTTTTCCCATTGTATAGAGGTGGACAGGCCCTAACATTAGTTTACCCAGAGGACTGGAACTTGTGATCTGATTATCAACAGTTGAATGTGAGTACCCAAGCCATATGATCACAAACTCTAACAAAGCCAGTTACAGCTATTTCCTTTCCACCCAGCTTCTAAAGGACTTTCCACAGCAGCATTCATAAGTAGAGTGAATACTACAGGAGTAGGACGTGAGCACTAAATAAAGCATCAACATGATAGTCACGTCTGAGGGCAGACTCATGCTAGGAACTCTTTGGCTGAAGTTGAATACCATTATGGTCCAATACAACCAGACTGTTGCCCCCTCTCCTGTTCCCCTTCTCTTTATCATTTACTGTCCCATTATGCCATGAAGTACTGCCGTACGTGATGTCTCCCAATAGGTCACCTTCCCCTCCTGGTAACCAGTCTCCTGTTCCAGGTGGTTTCCAGGTGTTTATCATCCTTGTGTTAAAGCATACTACAAGTAGAGAGTAGAATTAACACCATAAATTCAAAGAATTCAAAGTTTCTTGTTTGAAATAATCGAAACAGTGAAACACACCAAAATGGTGCTGGGCCCTGAGGAACCAATTGTGCTAGCAGTATGGTTCAGAATTTTGCAGTATATGGTGGTGCCTTCGTTCAAATGGCAAACTGCTGAGAACCTTCCCAGAAATTCTGACCCAAATGCAAGGAAATGAGCGATAGCGAAATACAGAAACCAAGCCGCACCATACATATGAAACCAGATAGTCTTGACCTTGAACCAAAAGCAGAATTGCAACTCGAATTACACCAAATAACCAGATAGTCTTGACCTTGAACCAAAAGCAGAATTGCAACTCGAATTACACCAAATAAGAGCACAGCAGAGCTCACAAATGACAATGTTGGAATACTCTCGTCATCATCATCAATCAACAAATGCTGTTCCCCTATCTGGCGCTCAGCACCCAGTCTGCAAATGGCAGATCCTATCTAGCCTATCTACCATGCCGCCGGTGACGTCAACAGCTTTCCAAAGTACGAGCAGATCTCGGCCAAGGTCGTTCGCATCCAGCACCAGGTATGTCCCCGCTTCACTCACAACCTCGATCCTCCACACAGATGCCACATGCACCCGAAGACCACCATGCGCCTCACCCAGCACTGCACAGGCCAGCCTGGCTATGGCTGCCTGCGTTCGCCCTGTTCGCCCGTGAGCACGTAGGCACTCGCTCCAGCAGCTGGCGCAGCAGCGAGTGCCCGAATGTCCAGCCAGCGGCCAGGCCCTTTCCTATATGGAATGTGGCTGCCAGTTGTGGACTGCCTGGCTGTCCTGGGGCTCTCCCCAGTCCGGTAGGACCCAAGTGGCTGAGCCCCTGTCCCAGGGAATTTTCCACAGGGCCTGGGGTGGTTACCCGTGTCCAACTGCCGCGGGCTGTGTTCAGTTTGTGCCCCGTGTCTGGCCCAGGGCCTGGGCTAACTCAACCAACTGACGCTGCGTAACTGCCTGAATTTCTCCCAGTTGCGTCAAACACAAAAATAGGCCTCTCGTCATTTGTGAGGCCCGCCTTCACTCAGGGCGGCCGTACTTGCTGATACAGGGCCCAAAAAGGGCTTACCGAGGCTTTGAGCCTCGCACAAAAGCAAAGGCCATTTGTCTCCTGTTGCCTGTAAGAAACCCCTACAGCTCCACTGTTACATGCTGAGCCTGCACACGGGCCCCATTTGCGGGGCCCCACGGTTCCTGAGGGGCCCCCAGGCTGCACGCCATCCAGCGCGCACCCTGGAGGCCCACGGCGGCCCTCTAGGCCGCAGGTATAGGGTGGGGCAGCACTCACTCATTTATTTATTTATTATTTCTGTGATGTGCTGCCCTATTTTTGTCGGTTCAGGCACCGCTTAGGACTTGCAGCCCCAAGGATGCACCTTGGGCCAGGTACACCGGAACGAGGCCCTTCCAGAGCCAGGCGCGTTTTGGCGCCTGACTCCTGGCCTACTTTCGTTGGTACAGATGACGTTTTGGACCTGCAGGCCCCAAGGCAATACCTTGGGCCAGGTACACCAGGACCAGGCCTTTCCAAGGCCAGGCACGTTTTCGCGCCTTGCTGCGTCAGCAGCACGGTCTGGACACCCGGCAGGGGCCCAGAGACCGGCTGGGCCGTTCTAGGCCACACAGCAGCCTACCCAGTAGGGCCCAGCGCAGTATATAGGTGGGCCTCACGCTGGGTACTGGACAGTTCGGAAGCTCACTTCTTGAGCGACACGCTGCTGGTTGGAGGCTGCGCTACGTAGCGCTGTGCTGCTGAGCTAGGGAGGAGAGGCGCATGACGTAGAGAGAGAGAGAGCGGCGACTTACCTGCAGTGGCGAGCTTACCTGGCACAATAGCTAGGGCTCTGCGCGGTACCTGCACAGGACGAACCACAGCTAGTACGGCAGTTACCGTTAGGTAAGGCAGCGAGGAGGACAGCATCTTCTTCTTCCTCCTCATCCTCCCTCTTTTCTCTCTCTCTTCCTCCTTCCTCCTTCCTCCTCCTCCTCCATCTTCTTCTTCAGATACGAGAGTGAGAGAGGTTACTAGCGGACTTCTCCCTCGCCTCCACCTTCGTCTCTCCTCTCCCCCCATCTCACATCCGTGGTATCTCCCCATGTGCGTGTACAAGGAGGGACCTTTCTTCTTGTGTGCGGTCCCTCCTCTCCCTCTCACATGTGTGATGTATGATGGGATGTCGTGTCAGTCCCGGTCAGGTCAGGACTTATTCCAAAATCTTCCGCTGCGTTATTATGTGGCCTTTGGATGTATCAGGGTGTACATTGCCTGTTAATGTTTCACTAACATTGCATTGTCATTCAGTCCGTTTCATCACATTGTGGATCCTTGGCTGAACCTACACTGCCCATCTGTATCATCCACTGAGAAGTGATGTCTTTCTGGGGCAAGCAACCTCAGAAGGCTGATGAGTATCAGGAGGTTATTTGCATAGTAAGGGACCAAATAAACCAATACTTACCACAAGGAAAGAGAAAGGGGGAAGAAGAAGAACACTTGCATGGTGAAGAACTAATACTTGAAACCATGAACGCTTCCAAACTGCACCCTATTTCCCCTTCGTGCAATTCTCCATTCTTTTTTTCTTCTCCTTTGGATCATTGACAAGTTTTGCCACGATTCCCCTGATCTGAGCAGTTCTCCGTTTTTTCTTTCTTCGTCAGATTGGTGTCAGTATGACGATGAAGGTGGGTGGTATGTGTCGAACTTAGCCATCTACTGAACAAAGAACTATCAGGTCATCTTCTGAAAGAAGAGACCTTGAAAGTAACTCGCACACGTTCACAGGTCTGCGTGTAGCGTGGGGTGCTGAAACACGTACAGGAAAAACAACCGCTTGAGCAATCCTGCAGTTGCATATAGAGTGAGCTCCGGCTTGGGATATTCCTCTTCACCTGCACAGATCAACAACAGAGATATCAAGGCTAATGTCCTCCCTTTTTCACTTCCACCGCTTCCCCCTTCTCTCCCTCTCTCTCTCTCTCTCTCTCTCTCTCTCTCTCTCTCTCTCTCTCTC